GGATTTAATTGAATTCGCATTAAGCAGACCTAGACCTAATGATATCTTGATTATTAATTGACGGCAATCTAACAAAGGCATTAGCTCAACAGACAGATAAGAGCATAGAGAGAGAATCGCGATAAAATATAGTATCTTACTCACTATTAAATATATCCTTGAGTAATGTTTGAAAGAAAGGTGGTAACTGCAAAGAACGAAACTGACCACTGATAATCTTTCACTCATACTTGACAAGGTACGCCAGCATTATGCGATAGAGTATGTGTTAATTTGTAAATTTACAATTTTAATTTTTCTTGCCCGCAGACGAAAAAATGTTTAAATGTTAAATTTCCTAATTCTGAAAAGGTAATTTATTCATATGCTTGAAAAATTATATGTTTGAAATAGTGCATGATCTTTCGTATATTTATATTATTCTAAATAATTACGTACATTTTGAAATTCTAATTATTTATTCAAAGAATTGCTTTTCAAATCAACGGCGATCAAACTAGGAGTTTCATAGCTCATTAGCTATTTAAATTAGAAGTAAATTTAACTTCAATTTTTAATCATAGATTATACGTATCTCTATACAAGTTTGCTTGAATTGCACAAATATTAAAATTTGTATAAATATTCGTATACTATAGAAATAAAAATATTGTCGATAAAATCAAGAATCTACCATGAATAAAGTTTTTATTGAATATCAATATTGTATGTATTATAATTGAAAGAGACTTAATTTGCTGTGTCTCAATCCTGTTGTAAAAGAAATTTATCGATCTTTCATAATATATCTTTCCCTTTTAAAAACGTACTTCATGATTTATTTCTCGTTTCGTATTGGAAAGCACAATCGATTTTACGAGGCTTGCCATGTTCGCGAACATAAAACAGGAGCGCAGAGCCATGTGATAGAAGCAAAAATATATTTACGCGCCGCTAATTATGCCAGTAAAACCTGTAATCTCATAATAATCAAATTATTTTATACTTACGTATCGATAGCTTCCATCTATCAACGAGTCAATCAAATCAAAAGCGCGCTTTGATGTAATAAAGGCTTGCAATAGGTTGTTGTTTTTACGAATCTGATCAGATTGATTCGAGGTTGATAGATCGAAGCTATCGATACATAAGTGTAAAATAATCCATCTCCAAATGCACAAGGTTGCACGGCGGAGTCTGTTATCGCTACCTTGTAACATATATCTTTTTACGCTCATTAGCGCTCACGTATCCGGCGAGGTGACACGCTGCTTATGAGCGAAATAGACTACCGGGAACTATCGATAACGAGAAAATATGCCCTTAGGTGCAGATTGACGTAAATGCGTCTTCAATATCGAACATTTCGCCAGTAATCGCGCAACATACGGTTGCTTAATGAATCAAACTTTTGCCCTGCGGTGATGAATTCCATCTATACATTGCCGGCTTTTCACAGGCCCTTATATAATACAGGAAGAAAATACGGCATAATTCCGAAGTCGTAAACCGATTGATGTCGTTTATGGTATCGAAGAAACGATGCACTTGGCGAAACGTCAATGGATTATTCATAGATCCATAAACAATGGATAGAAAAAGCGTGACGTTCATTACAGACACTATCGTTTCACGATCGCAGAATGCGATGGCATCTTCGTTAATGGCGAATACACGGTGCCTTTTAATGAGGACGTTTACATTAGAAGTGGACAATAATGATGATTACGACGGTACCATATGCGGCATCGATGTTAACCACACATTAACCATTTAATATCGCGTAAGCGATTTTACGGTATTTGACATTTACCCCGCAATTATGCGCTCTCATTTATTGCACGTAATAATCTCGATAAAGGAACATAGAAATTCTTTTTTTAAATAGCCTCGCTCCGAATACTACAATAATACCTTATACGATGATTATATTCAGTTTCACTGCATTAATAGAGAAATTTTGTTTCTACTGAAAAAGCATATTTTATTTCATCGTTGGAGGTTTGGATGCAATATACACGATGACAGCGCAATTATGGGATACGGCAAAAATGAGGAATAGCAACGCTTTAAAATACCGGCGATGCAATTAATGGCATATCGCGAATTGAGCATACGTTTTCATAATGTCCGGACATATGCACTGATATCAAACTTAATGTTGTACTTTAATCATATCAAACTTAATGTTGTACTTTAATCATACAGACACCAAGGACATTCCAAGCAAAATTTCTCTGTGCGCGTAATATTATTCTTTCCGATTATTAATGAAAAGGAATGTAGATGTTACTTGACGATGCTTTTTTTATATGTTGAAACATAAATCCGATCTCTCCGTCGCACTTGATCTTTGATACGTCATAAGACTAAAACAAAATATTTTTTCAAAAGATTCTCTTTATAATTATTTTTGAGAGATGTCAAGTGTATCTTTCAAAACTCTGTGAAAATAACATTTGATGTCTTACTTAAACCTGTCTCACTTTATTTCGATAATAAATTTTATTAATACCAAATAAGCGTAATGTATCACTTATAATTTGCTTGCAAACGATAAAAATTAAATATGACAGCTTTTGGACATGAGCTTCACGCATACGAATTCAAAATCCGTCTCAGGATATTACGTTACGTAGACCTGCACAGGTGCGGCGCTTCGAGGTTGACCGGTGTATTGAGTTCTACAAAAATTCCTAACGACTGTAAGCGTCGCCATTCTCTCTATCTCTCTCTTTCTCTCGTTTCTTGCCCGACTATTCGCGATCCCTCCGTCTTTCGCTCTCGTGCACGACTGAAGATTTTTTCAAGATATCGGCTCGCGAAGAAATATACCTGTCACCGTCGTGACTTCGGGTCCGATGATTTCGTCACGAAACTCCCGTTTCGTTCGATCTGTTCGCGAACGTTCTCTTTGCACATCACAGATACAAATATAAATGTTTCATGAAATGTCGATGATTGCCCAAATTTTGTCTTTTGTACTTTATTGTTTTTTTTATATAGATTTTTACATAGATATTTTTCATGATTTTATATTAAAAAAATATATATTTGCTTCTCTGAAGGAATGTTAAAGATAACAGATGAGTTATATTCTATCCTATTAATGATAATGTGCTTTGTTAGAGTTGAATACGGATGTAATAAATCAATCATACATTGCAACGCTGTATACTCATTTAATACTTTTTGTTATTGTACTCCTAATTTGGTATGATCGATTAGCAAGGAATGACTAAAGAGATAAATTGGAATAATCCGTATATAATTAAAACCAATATCATTAAGCTCGCACGAAGCAAATTCAATAGGAGAAAAAAATGTTACCGATCATTAAGAAGATTTAATATCCTTCTTTATGTATGACTTTTGAACCGTCTTCTTAACGTACACTTCTAACGACAAGGCAAGCATTTTTCACGAGATATCGTAATCGACTCTGTAAATAAATATAACTTTTATATCAATATTTTCCGCGTATGACTTAGCACGTTTATTGATTCGATTAAATCTTCTTTATTTGCTTGAAAATGAATGCTACGTAAGAATAGCGTTTCATTAGAATGGCGTTGTACCGGTCGGGACGAAAGACCAATACCCGTCTGAAAAACCGACACCGGGGACGAAAAAGAATGCGCAAACTCGTTCACAGTCTTATGGCGGTCCTTGGGCAACGCCCGGCCGCGAAGGTAGGCCACACCGGTGCGAAATGCACTTAATTTACGTGCGAAAATTGCCAATTAACTGGCATAATCGGCATGTATGCGCGAACGGGACGGCGCGTCGCGTCCTGTCAAAAGTCATCCCGACGTCTCGCGCCAGGTCACGGAAATGGCCCTGAAATATCGCGGTCCGGATAGGAAGCGGGAGAGGAACGACGTCGACGACTTCTTCGTCGCGTCTCTCCGCAACGAAGAACGAAAACAAGATGCAAGAACAACAGCGGCGGACTTGACACGCGGAGAGACGGCTCGGCACAGAATTCGAGAGCGCAACGGGCGTTGTGCAACGATCAAACCGGAATGTCGAGGTGCTCCACGCCCCCGGGAGACGCCGAAATTCTCGTCAATCTTCCTCTCGCAGGAAGGAAGAGTGGGAGCAGAAGATGCTTTCGCGATACGCGGTGTCTTGTTTTGATACCGTGCGCTTTAGCTTCTCATTCGGCAAAATTATACGACGGATTTTTAAACGAGGCTTGATCTAAGCGCGGTGAAATCTGTACGATGGAGAAGTGGACTCGTAAAAGTGACATAATTGTACCTCTCTTTTTCATATATATTAATTAATAAATAATTATTAGCTATTCCCCGCGTGATTGTCTTTAAATATGTAACTCTGAATTGACTTTTTTAATAATTTATAGTACTTTAAAAAATATAAAGACTTTAATGATAAATAAGCATGCAAACGCTTAAATGAGATTTGCGCGTAAATGTGATTGCCTGTTTGATTGCAACGATAATATAATAATGATGTGTTAAAAAATCTATTAGCGATTTCTCTTACATTAATATACATTAGCGTTTACTAAGTGCGCTCTTATTATTAATTTTTTGTATCATTTTTAACATCAACCGTCTTTTAAAATTATAACTTAGCATCAACCGTCTTTTAAAATTATAAATTAGCAATTATTTTTATATATAATTCTGATGACGAATTGAAAGATATATGATATATAAAATAGATATATATGTGTCGAAGAAATCGAATTAAATATATAAAAAAATAATTCCAGTTAGAAATTATTAGATACGATCTCGCAACAGATTGAGTTTCTTTCGAACCAGAGTAAATAAATGAAATTAATAGCGAATATAACAAGACGATTTCCGTAAATTTTATCGTCGCCTTAAAAGCTTCCCATTTAAGTGCGCGTTATCGCTAAGTATAATGTTTTCTGGTGACAGATAAACGACACGCGATGGGGGACATGCGGGCAAAAGAGTAGAGGTGCAATCGGCATGGCATTATCGCTTATGCAATCAAAGCTTCATGTCGATTTACGTCGGTTTCAGATCGAGACGACGGCGGTGGCGACAACAACGGCAGTAGCTGCTGCCAGTCCGCTTTCCTGGCACATCCCAAGGCCGTCCTTGGTCGGGCGCAGCGAGAGGGACAGTGAAAATGGAAGCTGGGCTCATCATTTGCATCCAAACTCCCCCTCGAGAGGGTCGACGTCGTCTCAAGGCTCCACCGCCAGTACACACGTAAATTTCACTCGAAAGATATTAAAATAGCGTCCCCATCTCTCTGAATTTTAAAATTAAAAATTTAATATTATAATTAAAATAAAATTAAAATCCGATTCTAAATTAACATAAAAAAGACCGGAGTTAAAATTCCGATGCAAATCTCAAGGAGCTACTTCATTTTATCGGATTCTCAGAGTTGATAGTTGATGTTAATAATAAAACTTTGCGAATAATTTAAGTTATATCCGCGTTAAAAAATTAAATCAAAATTGACACAATCAAAATGATAAGCTCATATTATATACAAGAAGCAAGAGAGATTGTCTGATTTCCCAAGATAATACTTGAATGTTTCCGAATCGATTTACAGAGCGCCGCGTCTGGAACGTTGCTACTCACAGCCGCGAATCTGGCAAATCTCGCTGCCATACATCCGCCCACGGTGACGGCATCAAAGCAGATTGATACCGCCTCGGTGGCCAGCAGCACCCATTTTACGGTCGTGAACGGTCTCGGCAGACCGACCACCGTCTACAGGAAGTCTTGGTGTGCGCGGAACCAGCTCACCGTGCTCGTGTGCACTATGAGCTTTCTGTTCATGGTCGGTCTGCTTGCCGGGATCCTTTACATGGAAAGTAAGTATCTGCTCTCACAGTGTGGCAGCAACAGCCGCGGCGCGAATTCTTATTGCCACATTCACCGCGTGTTTCAACATCACGCGCGATCTCGGTAGATTCACCATCCACAAAACCTTCTCACCGCTATTTACCTCTGATTGCAGTGAGGGTTCGCGACAAGTACAACTAGGCCGAGGGTGACGGGAGGAAGAAACGGAGGAGACACGTGACCGTGAATGATGATCATCTTGATAGAAAAAGGCAGCGAAGAAACGAATCTGGCGAAAAGCGCGATGGAAAGATTAAAGTCGAACGAGAATATCGTTTTTGTGGAAACGAGAGAGAAGGAGGACGCGCGCTTGATTCAGTCACGATATTAATTAATTTGAATTTACTCGTATTTATATTTGTCTTATTAGACCGCTCAGATCGCTCTCAGTTAGCAGACGTTCTCGGCTACGGTTAGGTTTTTAAGTATATATACATATATACTGTATTGCACCGTGACAAGTGTGGTACGTGAAAACCAGTAATTACATTTGTGTAATGAACAACGTATATATTATTAAGGGATTAACGAGATCCTCGCGATGGGATAGCCTTGCTATATTTATACTCAGACTAACGATTTCTTCGAGTCGTATCGCGAGACACGATTCGACGAATATTGTAATATTTTATATTAATTGACCCCTTACCACTAATGCGTGTGTTATATAGAGCACAAGCAACTTTCTCTCAAATTTCTTCACCGTTTTGTACACGATTATGACACCTTTCTGCACGTTATATATTTTTCCGCATAAGAAGATACATGTGGTAAGGGGTTCTCGACGACAATGATACATGTGATGCGGTTCGCGATTACTCTAAATAAAATGTACTTTAAGCTCCTCTTCTTTGGTTCTCAATCGATTTACCGTTCATTGTAAATCTTGATATTATCGAGAGCTGATGAAGAGAAAAGTAATATGAAAGGCATCGTCATAGTATCACTAATCCTGATCGTCCAATAGAATTTCAAATCTGATCGTATTTTAACGAAAACCAAGAGACAGTTTGGAAGCAATCGACGAAATGGGACCAAAATAGCGAGTATCTGTTTAGGGGCCCGCATAACTTAATTCTCACTAACACAAATCGCCTTAAATAAACCTGGATTTCCGCTGACATGTTATTACAGAGATAAACATAAACGAAAAAGCAATGAGGGGAGCAGTCGATCCCTTTTCGCGTCTGTGATATTATATGCGTATTAATTAATCGTCGATTCAACAAGAAACTGTCAAATATATCAAACGTCGTTTCATTTCAACCTATCTTTTGCAGCATATTCAATAATATTCACATAATAACCCAAAAATAGTATATGATATCACATGGTAAGTATCTAACCTAATCTAACATAATGTTTCATTACCTATCACTACAGTTTAATATATCATAACTCCACTATTGTCATCAGTATAAATTTAAATAAAGCTAAATCGATCCTACATAGTAAAAAATTGACATTTCAAAATATTATTCTATCTCTTTAAATTTTCTTTTTATATGAAAAGAATATTTTAGCGCCACATTGTGTAATTCATAGTGATAAAGGAAAATAAGAATATCCACTTACGTCCAAGTCTCCAAGTGTTTGTGTCCATCTGTAATTCGGCATGTCTGCACCATTACCACTGTTAGGCTTCAACTTATTTTTCTCTTTTTCATCTTCTTCGTCCTCATCATCTACATTGCCATCTTTAGAATCAACATTTTCATCCTCGACATCTTTAGAAAGTTCATTATGATCACTACTAGGTCCCGCAACAGCAGCGTCTTTTACTGATCGCTAAGCAAAAATTTTATAATATTATTATGACTTCTAACAAATAACTTTTCGTCAGATAAATAATATATTAAATAATATAAATGATATATTAAACAATATATTAAAGTTTTTGAAATAAATACCTTATCTATTTCTTCTTGTAATTTAACAGCTTCTTCCTCAGTTAGCTCTGTTATTCTAGAATCGTTATTTATCTTTTCTTCCTCAGCTTGCTCCTCTTTCCTCTTCTTTTCGAGTCTCTCCTTACGCCGTTTTTCTTGCTCAATTTTTTCTATTTTATCAGAAGCAGCTTTGGCTAAAGCGTTAGCTTCGTGTTTCTTGAATTTACTCATGACAAGCTGTACATGAAAGAACAATTTGTCCGGTCAGTTTATAGAAATTTCTAGAATAATCTAACATAACTATGCAAGAAATATATAAAAACAATTACTTGTTCAGCTGCCCCTTCGCCGCCTCCGGTATAAAAGTCTGTTTTTCTCGCCAGGAAACTGAAGAAAGTATCTAATAACTAAAAGAAGAAAGCTCAATGTAAGACACAAATACATATCTTATCGCGCGAGTTAACCTCAATCAGAAAGAAGATGAAACTTACGTCTTTCACACCACCTTCGTGTTGCTGCGCCAACGCCAATAACATTCCGTCGAATTGATCTTCCTTCTTCGTCATTTTGCTTCAATATTTACTTATATTCTGTCAACTTTATGATAAAAGGCCACAATAATTCGTATCGTTTTAGTTGTCTAGTAACGACGAAGCTATTGTTGCTATACTACATCACGTTTCCATGATGAAACATCTCGAATAATCGACCGAATATTCCAATCAAGTTCATCAATAACGTCCTCTGACAACAAAACTGCTAACGTCTTTCAAGTCGAGACAACACAAACCCTCTGTTGTTATATCATTACCGATGAGATTCCCTTACACAAACATCGAATTATCGACCGAAGTAACCTAACCAACTGAGGGATAACAAACTAGAATAACCTTCTAATAAATTGTAGTAATAATTTTCAAGTCAAATATTATCGACTCTCTCTCACTCTCTCTCACTCTCTCTCTGCTCAAGTTTTTTATAAATATATATATATTCTCTTTTTTTTTAATATTTTAGTTTAAATAAAAAAAGAAATATATATTTCTTTAGAGATAACTACAAGCTATCCAACATGAGTTGTTCAAACATTTTTTTATATTGAATTGACACATATTATATGTATATGTATATATGTTATAATTTTTTAAATAAAAATGATAATTTATAAATGTGTATACATATAATTATAGATTATCAATTTTATTAAAATATTCTTGTATTGTACTTTGCAGTCATTTGTGCAAAATATATTCTATTGCGCATTTGTATTGTATGTACAAATATTAAAAACTTCCATTAATATCGGGAGATAGAATAAATCATTATACAATATAATTATTATCTAGACTATGTATATCATAAAATAAAAAAATGCAAAAGCTTAATAAATACATATTTAATATTAATTTATATATCCTTGAATTTATATAATTTAAAGCAATTACTAGATTAGAAAATAAATCATATTTCTATCTCGCGATATTAATCTCGCGATTTGTTTTTTTTTTAAATAATACTAACTAAATTTTCATGCGAAATATTGCTTTAGTTAAAGAAATATATTTTTTTATTTAAATTATTTTTCAATTGTACCAAATTATTACTAACACAAGAGAACACGGACATAAGTGGTCACGATATTCGTGTCGATCGTTTCGGGGAAATCAGATAAAGCGGCGTGTTCGACCAAGAATTGTTTTGACTAACATAAGCGCACGCGAATGATGGGGGGGCAAAGGACCTGTTCTGATAATTTCAGATAATTCAAGGAAATGTGTACGTAACATGATATTACGCGGAAAAATTTAAGCGGTGCGCACTTCCTCGGAACACATTGGAAGACACTTACCATTCTCGATTTAGTCCTTTACGACGAAGGAAAATCTCGGGATGCCTCTCGATGCTATTCTTGACACATGTATATATACTCGACGCACTTATGAAAGTCAGCTGATTGGACGAATATGTATCAAACGCACATTGTCAAACAATTTCCGTCCAATATATGTCCAGAAAAAAATTCGATCGCGATTATGATCGCCCGTACATTATACTCGGCACTCCCGAAGCTCGCGAACTTCACGCAATCAACTTGGCGCAACTTTTTTCGCGAACGACGAAACGTCAACCGCGACTTTAGGGACGTCGGAAAACGCACGGATCGCGAAATCGAGCGATATAAATCGATCGCCCGTAGATTTATTATATCGGCACTATCACTTTAACTCGTCGCACCACGCGATTTCGATCAGGGGAATTTCGAGCGGAGAGAAGCACATCCAGCAATCATGGCGGACGTGAAACACTGATCGTTACGCGGCGAGATATCGGATCACTTGTCGCGATTAATCCATTGGGATGGTCGGTCTCTCGTCTCTCTCTGTCTCTCCGAGATGCTCCTCAATGTTACCTGATAATCCTCGATATCCCCAATGTTGAGAGGCACTCGCGATGCTTGTCGAATGAGATCGCCGCGAGAGAGGATCGAAGGAAGGAGGGCCCTTCGCGACGTAACATGAGACATGGCGGACATTGATATATCAAGATATCATTAATTCGCGATCACGGAGAACAATTAATAAATCGGACGACCCGTCGTCGGATTCGACACTCCCGACACTCATTCGTGCACGAAATTCACGCGGGAAAACCGTGGAGACGCGAAACGATCTCTCCACGATCCACACCGGATGAAAGCGCGACGGTTACTGAAATTCGATTACGTAATCATTCAATTTCGCGCGACCTTTGAAATTTCTTAATGGCGCGCGAACGTTTTTCACCTATTAATGGAAATATTAAAATGACTTGTTATAGTAAAACATTGAGAGAAAGAGAGAGTCATGTTTTCGAAAAATTCTATTAAAATACAAATAAAGTTAAACTTAATCTGTTTTATTAAAACCTATTTTTTATTAATGAAATGTTTAATATATTTAAAGAGGAATATTTTTAAATTCATCTTTTTCCAGTTTCCTTATTAAATAATTTCATATTAAAATGATAAAATGTTTTATATTATGTTTTTTTTATATTATTTCTAAATTTAATTGAGATGTATTTATATATATTTATATATATTTATATATATTTATATATATTTATATATATTTATATATGTTTATATATATTTATATATTATTATATATATTTAAAATTAAATATTTCTTTTCTAATTGTGTAAATATGTAAATTTATATAGTGATATATGCAGTGATAGACACAGATTCATTTATTATCACTAAATTTGATTCTAAATTGTTTTTTATCTCACTAGACGTGTACTTTCAAGAAAACATTTATATTTCTCTTTACATTTAGATTTAGTAAGTTACATGTGCTTTGAAGATTTTTTTTTTTCTTAATCGTGTATGCAAAAGTCAACGCATGACGTTTGACAGAACGAAAAGATTCATAAAACGAGCCACGTCGACTTCTACTCGAATAGGTCCAGGGATTTACGACGTATCGGTTCTATCAAAGCCAACTCGAGATCCAGGTAACTTATAATGTACAATAATCTTGAATTTTGCATTCGCTCGCGTATGCTCTTGTATTACGCGACTGTGTGTTCTACAGACAATGCTTATCCATTTTTGAGCGGAGCGAGCAGGCAGATACTCAGCATACCAAAAGACTCGCATAAGTTTCCAGGCCTTGACTGTTACAATATGGAGGCACCATGGAAATATATACCAGAACGTGCATTTTCTTTATTAATGCCTCATTTATTTGCAATTTTTCTGCTCAATAACAATATGTATTTTGCATGCATTTTATGAGATTTAATAATTTAGGATAGCATTAGTACTGATTACACCGATGTTAGATTTAAAGAAAAAGTATATGAAGGATATAATATGTATAATTTACAAAATATAATATAATTACACATAATAATATTTTTAAATAGATTAATACACAAAATATCATTTCATGTATGTATATAGAATTACACGAAAATGTCTGAAAAGTGTATAACACAAAATTCATTCAAAGTCTTCAAATCGAATGATTAATTAAGCGATATTTATCAATTTTCGATTTTCGATGATAAAATTTTTAAAGGTTACATTATACAAACAAATCGCGATATGAAAAAGTCATCATACATTTATTTAATACATTTATCAATTATTTATCATTATTTTTATTGTGAAAAAGGTACTTAAATTATATTAATTCATTTCAATTTTCTAAGAAAATTTGATGTATAAAAAAATAAGTTGAAGTGAAATTTTGATGTAAGCCAATGATAAAATAAAAAAATAATTGCGATTAAATAAAATATTTTAATTCACAAATAATTTGAAGATAATTTGAGAAGAGATCAAAACCTCTTAAATGCGAGTTAGTATCTGACAAATAGAAAAACGATATATTAAACGCATTATATAGAACGATCGCAACGTATTTTACTTTACATCGGATCCTATGGAATTGATTTGCAAAGAAAAGTTAAACGACCCGTCAAACATCAAGAATCTCGTTACAGGATGAAACGAATCCTGAATCTTCCGAACTGTTCCCAATAGCAATGATTTTAATATTTCAACGTCATCAACAACAAATATCATTATTATTTTCAATTCATAAGATAAAAGTTTACGCGAGAAAACATATTCTTCTACTATTCAAAAATATCTTTCTTTATTGAAAAATAAATGGATATAATTATTTTTACGAAAATATGGTTACAAACGAGTATATTTAAGGATAATGAAATATATGCATATTTATTGCTTAAATATACAAATACAATAATTTTCGTGTATCAACTGTTCGAGACGAATCGAACCCAATATCAACAAGATTTAAAAAAATTCACATTTACATATTTCATGATATAAAATAAATAATTATCCATTTTGGATTTTTTGAGTATTTTAATGTGTTTCATATCTTACTGATATCAGGGTACCCATTCGATTTGTCTCGAATATTTTTGTACTTGGACATTTCATGTTACACATTTGTGTACATTAATATTATAATGTTTATAATATTAACAAAAAAGTTTTATTAAATAATATATCATATATTGCATATATTTTATTATATGTATATAGAATATCTAATAAATTATATTTAAAAATTAATATTCATGGCTCGGAATGGCGGGATGTCCAATACCTAAAAACGATTTCTCAAAAGAAATAAAAAATGAAATTAATTAAAAATTAACTAATAAAATATATTCGTCCGTAACCATATACTGTGTCAAAAATGTCGCCAGAGACAAGTAAACAAATTATTCTATTAATAATTTAAATTTAATATTTATCTATATATTATCTATAAAATTATTATTAAATTTTTTTCAAAGTATAAAGAGAATATTAATAATAATAATAATAATAGAAAAATTTTATAAGAAAAGAAGAAACTTTTCCTTCAAAATATACTATTTAATTGATTATATGATTCGACTTTAAAAAATCAGTCGTTAACTCATTGTTAAAATCATTGCTCTCAGAAACTATCTAGAAAACCCGGATTTAATTTCAACTCTGTAACAGAAACTCCTATTTTTCAACGAGACATCGAACTAAACGTCGTAGATGAATCCCATAAGAATCGACGAGAAATGATTTTATCACAATAAATTTTAATCTTCTTTTTTCGACAGAAGAATACAAATTACGTATGCTTAATTAATGTTTATCTGACACAATACACAACGATAAAACTCCTTTTTATTGAGACA